AAGTAGGCGCTTGTATTTGCTGCATCCTCCTCTGGGCCATCATTTTGCATCCAAGCCAGGTAAAAAGACTGTAACAGGCAGAGGCCAAGTACAAAGATGTCACTGTGCCAGCAGGAATGTACTACACGCTGTTAGAACTGCGCCTAAACAAGGGGCTACACTGGTGGTATTCTCCTCTACCAACCCTCCTGAGATCAACAATCCCCCTCAACAGTGTCCTCTTAGTGTGGCTCAGTCACAAACGTAGACCAAACTTGCTCATTCCTGTCTCATTTTTGCTCTTTCAGTTGAGAATCCTTGCAAGCGTGTCCCTTCTGGTGGTGGCTTTGGGATGTGGATCCTGCTTGGTAGGATCTACGCGGAGACCAACAACTTGCTCTGCGCAGCCCACTATGCAGGCATCAGATGACTGTGGCTTTCAGTTACTACCTCTGGACCGAAGCCAGAAGCCTAGCGGTGAAAAGCTCTTTATACCATTACCAATCCCCCGAGCCACCCAGTCCTTCTCCATTGCATACAGGTTTTTAGTGTTGTGCCTTAAGATCTGGTCTGGTTCTGAGTAACGGTCTTTGTGATGGGAGTCTCGCCACTCCCCCTCTCATGAGGAAAAAAATACCCAAGGAGGGAGTGTGAAACCTATTTTGAAGCCCCTTTATGATTATCTGATGCAGCGAGCACTCTTGGATCCTCTTGGGGATGGGCCCAAGTCCTGGGGAATGACTGTCTTCAGTGAAGAGCAGACTCCACCTAGGACAGATATGACCTGTGTGCCTTCGGTCAGTGCTGGTGGCTGTCCCGTGGTGGCAGCTCCCTCGCAGAGGTCCCCATGCACAGGGCCAGGGGCAGTCCCTGCAGGAATGGCTGTTGAGCTTTCGGGGATATTTGCAGACTGACTAGGTCTGACTAGGCTGCGCACACGCAGGCTGCTCTGATCCTGAGATCTGCCCCAGACCCACGCAGAGGTCTGAGCCACATTTAACGGCATCCCTAAGGACAGAAAGGGTGACCACTGAGTCCCTGGCACATCTCTTTGTATTGGCTTACATCAAAACTCCCCCTCTAAAGAGTCAGGGGCCAAACTGTGCCACCCCTGCAGCCCCAGGCCATTTCAGCAGAGGACAGTGACTCACTGGGAAGTTGAGCCCATGCACGTTTCTCTTCCAGTAGTCCTCAGAAAGAAGCTCACACACAACAGCTGGTTTTCCCTGCACAGGAGACCTAGCAGCAATACACTGGTACCCAGCGTCACCAAAGAGGGCTGTAAGCTGCTGATCCTGCAATAACACCTTAAAGGATTTAGAGTCTTTAATGTCGATTGCTGAATATTTCTGCTCCCCTCTGAACCATTCCAACAGTTGTTTCAAGTGAACATATTCATTCCTTCCCCTTTAACCATTGGAGCTTCTTGCTCGGCTTGCGAGCGAGGAAGAGGGAATGAAAGGGTCTCTTCAAACTTGCTGTAGCTGCTCTCTTAAAAGGGAGCATTGACACAGATTCTGCAGCCCTCGCGTGTAGCAAAGCTCCCCCAGGAGCTCCATGCACAGCAAGACTGCAGGATCCTTGTGGGTACTCCAGGAAGAGCGTGGCCATTCTCCTCCCCGCTGCATGGGAGGATCGTATCTATTCCGAGCATGGATCTACCAGGCGGCAGCGCTGCCCTGCCAACATACCTTTGGTTTGGCTCACCTTGAAAGCTATGATGTTATATTATATGATGATGTCATTATATTTATTTCAACTTTCAATGAAGAGCCCTGGCAAATCTCCGAGCTGGAATATCTTCTTTTTAATGGATCCAAGATCCAGCCAACATAGTGCAGATTACATTTATATAACACAACCCAAGTAATGTGAACTGCTAGGAATTCTTTTAACAGCTGTTGATGTTACTAAATTAAGGGTATTTCTCTATTAAAATTAAGGAAGAGGAAAAACTTGCCCGGTGTTTACCCAAACGTGAATGCTCTAATGTCTACCTGTGGTTATTTGTTGTGATAATTCTACCACGTGCTCATCCAATCTCAAGAAGATGTTATCTTTGTGGTGATATTTTTAAAGAGGCCAAATGAATCACACGCACTTTCACAGTTAGCTACAGGGGTGAGAACACTGTGTCCTCATGGGAGGGGAACAAAGTTTCCCTAGTCTTTTTTCTTCACCTGAACTGGACTCCTCTGGAATAGGTTTATTCCAAACCTTTGGAAACCTTACTTCTGATCTTCATTTTTTATCCTATTACCTACTGCGTTTCTCTTGTAACTTCGAAACTGGTCTAAAACACAACTTACTTTAGTAGTCACATACCTTTCCTAATAAATACAATTAAGCTTTCAGGAATGCTACGTGAGATACTGTTCCGCACCATCAAAAACATGCTTGGATGCTCCATCCAGACCCATTGAGGAATCCCCTTAAGCACTGGGCCCTACCGTGCTAGATTTTGTATCATTACATGATGACAAAAAACACGTTATTCTGAATGGAGACTAACCACACAGAGCTGACGCCCTGTACACCTGACACGGAGCTGTTCCACACAAGCTAAAGGTCTCATCCAAGGTTATGGAGTTCATGGTGGCCGTGGAAATGGATTTCTATTTCCAGAATTGCACATCGAGGTACTAAAACTGCAAAGAAAGAAACTAGGCTGCAACTGCGAACTCACTTGCAACCTTTTCCTTCTTATTTTGTCCCCAGAGTGGTCTCTGTGAGGTCTTATAATGCCACTACAAAGATCAGCAAACGAAACTTGGCTGTGCCATGAATTGATTTCAATTTAAGAGAGTCATAATTCAATTTTTGTTTAAAAAACATATTACAAAATCTAATATTAAAAAGATTTGCATAGAAACATTCATCAGAAAGATATTTTATTTGTTTGGCTTGAAAAACTTCCACTACAAGCCAAATATTTCAACACTAGAGCAGGAGGACCAGAGAGTGAACCTGACCAGAAACAACAGTGAAAACTAATAGTTTATTTTTGCTCTAACAGCTGACAAAATCTAGTTATTTATTTAAAAAAAAAAAATCCTTGTGGATGGTGAAACCTGTATTTTTTTTTTCTTTTAACCTGGACTATTCTTGGAAATATATTAGGAACTGGGCATTAGTAGTAGCAAAAGTATGTATGTCTGGGCATTTTATTAATTACAATTGCTGTCAGATTAAAAGATAAGATAGATAAGGAGACAGACATCTAGACTATATATTACTGGCACATTGATTTTACGCTCACATAACACCCACAAACACATGCATCCCTGCGCACATAACATTTTCAAATCTCTAAGCAAGCAGTAAGTTCCAAGGCAGTTTCCAGATGAAGTCTCTGTTTGCCCCATTGCCCTGATCACAGACAGATAAATCACTGGGTGAGACTCCTCGCCGAGTAGTGAGAATATTACTTTAGTAAAGCTCGCTAATGGGGCAAAGGACCTTGTATTGTAATCCAGTGACATTTTCAACCTTCGGAGAACTTTTGTTGACATTCCCGAGTCACTGGCTGCCATCCCAGCATGAAATAGTTTCTGTTCGCATAATTCTCGTGTTTACCAGTCATGAAAAACTCTTGCTTTTGGCTTTTTTTTTTCTAAGTAAACTTTTTTTTTTTTTTTTTTTTTTTTTTTTTTTTGCCAGCGAAACTCCGTCTAAAAAAATATTGGCCCCAGGCATAGAAGGTTTTGCATAAATTCATATGTGATGAATGGCTGATTTTAATGTTATTTGGGTATTTGTCAGAACCTAACAAATATACATGGTAATGGTGGTTCATAAACTTAAACATCTCAATATCCCCTTTCTTCTAGAAATAAATTACGTTTGTTTGCCCTGCCTGGAGTCCTAAGGTAGCCGACATTAGGAATATTTTAAATGTGATCATCCATCCAGCATGTCTTTCAGGCGCCACGAAGATTAAATGAAAGAATCATAAGATGAAGGTCTTTAACTTTTAATCCTTTTACAATGAACCCTTAGATAGACATGGGGGCAGGGTGCCTCCTATGTGAGTAATAATGCCTCTGTTCCTCTTCACTAGGTTAATGAATACCCTAAATGTCCCAAGATCTGATTTTTTTCCTTCCAAACTACTGAAATTAGAAGCAAGGAGACGGGTGGTAAAATGCACCGAGGAGTGTGAGTGTGTGGGGGGGGTGAATACGCACTCGGAGATGGGCGCCCCGACCGCTGCCCAGTGCAGGGCTGGGCTGCGTCCGCGGGAGACCCGCGGGTCTGGAATAATTAGCCCAGATTCCCTGAGAGAGGGAAAAAAAAAAAAAAAAAAAAGAAGAAGAAGAAAAAAGGCGTTCGGTTCCAAGGTAAATAGGGAAAGGGCTGTCCGCGCTGTCACGGAGCCTTTGAAGAGCACGTGGAGGGGCTGCTTGGCTGGCGCTATCTCGGAGGTGCTAACGCGGGCTCGCCCGCACGTAGAAGCCCGGCGGGGGCCGCGCAGAGCCGCGCGCTTCTCCGCGCTTTCCCCGCGCGCTGCCCTCCGCGGGCGCGCGGGAGGCGGCGCCGCAGAAGCAGCGGGGGGTCCCGCTGCGCGCCCCCGCGGAGCCGGCTCCGTCGTGGCCCGG